GCATTACAGTAATGCGAATGAGATTTATTATTATTATTATTATTATTATTATTATTATTATTATTATGTACTTAATAGGCTTAATTTTCTTTATGCATAATCTTATCTTTCTTTCTTTCTCTCTCTCTTTTTTTCATTTTGTGGTGAAATACAACCCTAGCACCTGTTGGTGAGATTCACCCTTTGGGGTACTTCTTGCTATTTCACTAGTGTGCGCATTGATTTCTTGAGTGCTGCCGGGTCCTTCAGCCTTTACTCTGAATTCTGTAGGGCCTAATTAACTCCAGCCAGAACAGATGCATTCATTAATGTCAGTGAGTACAGTAGGGAGCACACGGCTCAGATTCAGGTATTGTGCTTTGCTTTACAGTATCATATTGCAGTTTGGTATTAATAGTAATCTTATTTTTGCTAACATTTCTGTCGTTTTAAATCTATTATGAATAAGATGTTTTGTTTTATTTCTCTGTGTTTATGTGGGAATAGGCCAGCTGGTGGTGTGTACCTTGTGCTCCTGTGTGATGCAGACCAAGCGCATTTGGCTGTTCTCAGCGCACTTGCTCCCTCTGGTGGCCAGGCTGTGCCTGGTTCCTTTGGAGACCATCGTTTTCGTCAATCGCTTTGCCATGATTTTCACAGGCCTGGAAGTCATCTACTTTTTGGCCTCCAACCTGCTGGTGCCATTTAATCTGGCCAAGACAGCGTACCGGGAGCTTGCACAGGTTAGAACAGTAGAGGCTAAAGATTGAGTTTTAAAACAGACTTGAGAGTGTTAAATCAATCAAAAGAAAAAATAATTAAACTCTTCTCTGTTATATCTGTTAGGTGGTGGAGGTTTATGGGTTGCTGGCTCTCGGTATGTCTCTGTGGAATCAGTTGGTTCTGCCCGTGTTGTTCATGTGTTTCTGGCTGGTTCTGTTTGCTCTGCAAATCTACACATACTTCAGTACACGAGACCAGCCCACATCTAGAGAGAGGCTGCTCTTCCTTTTTCTCACAAGGTGAGTTGAAGTTCAGGCTGCTCTGCTTGTCATTCCTGAGCATTTTACTAAAGAGCGTAATAGAGAAATAGATGGATAAGATAAATAAGAGTGTCGCTGATCTTTTTTTTTTTTTTTTTTTCCAGTAAAATATTCGATGAACTGTTAGTAAATGTTAAATGTTTGATTGATTTGAATCTCATGAAGGTGCACAGCAGCTTAATTTCTAAATGTTTTGTTGTATTAATAGTAACAATAGTCATATTTCCAAATTGTTATTAATACAAATTATTAGTACATAATTTTTTGAGTAAATGTGATATAAGTGTTGGTATAAATGGATCAATTCCTACATTCTATATAATCAGTATTTCATCGGCCATCCTGCTCTCTAGTCACTGGCTCTAAAAAACCTATTACAGTTGTAATGTAGGAGTCGTGACTGTTACAGATTGGTGTAATGTGAAATTCAACTGTTGTCCTTTTGTTTTAAAATCTTTCGCACCCAGGTGCTGGGCACACTGCTGATCTACGTGCTCTTCATGGTGGAGGAGCTCCGCAAGGCTCCGGTGGAGAACATGGATGATGTCATCTACTGGGTGAATGATTGAAAATTGATTTGTGAATTTATTTTTTTACCTTATTTTTACATGTAAATTACATTTACTGTCACTGTAATGATGATGATGATGTCTTATTATTAACTACTACTGCTACAACTACTGATAAAATAATAATTTGCCATCATTATAATAATAATAATTATGTTAATAATAATGCCATTATTATTATTATTATTCTAACAATGGCAAATTATTATATTATTAGTATAATTAATAATAATAATATATGAAGAACAATTATTATTTGTATTATTATTACTCAACCTATAAAACATCAAAATAATAATAATTTAATAATATTTTTCTTCTTTGTATATTATTATTACTATTATTAATTATACTAATAATATAATAATTTGCAATTGTTAGAATGATTATGATAACGATAACAATAATTTATTATTAATAATGTTGTTGTTGTTATTATTATTACTATTATTGATTAAAAAATATCTTAAAATGAGTATCAATTTTTCATAGTGTACATTAATAGTGATGCCTAAATTCACTTTAGTTTTTTTTCTATTTATTTTGACAAAACATTTTACATTTTTAAAACGTGCTATTTAACAGCCATAACATAAAAAAGAATGATCATTGTAATGTACTGTTTCTTCTGTTTTTGAATCTAGGACATGACGTCAGCAGTGATCACCCCCTGCAGTCACCTATTCCATGCCGGCTGCTTGAAGAAGTGGTTGTATGTGCAGGAGACCTGCCCTCTTTGCCACAACCAGCTAAAAGGCTCATCACAACCTGGCTCTTCAACACAGGACGCCCTGCCACAAGAGCCCCCAATACAGCCAGCAGGTGATCTGGACCCTTCAACGCATCCAGAGTCAGATTCAACCCTCCAGGTTCCCCAGCAAGACGACACCCCTCTCACTTCAGCGTCAGACCTTACGGCTGGGCTGAAAGACGGCGGTGACACTACTGCCTGCTTCTCCCAGTCCTAAAACCTGCCTTGAGCCAATCTCAACTCCACACACTGCTGGCCAAAAGACAGTTTTACAGCAGAGGGTCTGATGGGATACTGTCGGCCCTCTCTGTGACTGATACGTACATACGGAATGCTCCTTAGACATCTATACAATCGAAATCCTTCTATCATCCCCCTCTCATCCAGAACATCACAGAATCCAGAAGTCAGAAAGCTTATCTGAGGTGAAAAGAATCATTTCACCCCTTCCACATCTGGAATTACTGAAACACCAGCTCTTCCCCACCCTTTATTACGAAACAACAGTCTCCAGCGAATACCAACCTGAATGTGATCATGTGACCCTTCAGTATAGTGCTGTGATGCTCTGTAGGCACTTAGCACATATCCACTAGCACGCTCTCAGTATCCAATACATTAGCCCGTCTTTTTCTGTTCTCTATTTGTTTTCTTCAGAGAAAATATATTTACATATATGCCACTGCATTTGCACTAATGTAACATAAAGCAATGCTCCAAAGTTTGTCTTGTCTGATACTAAATATTTTGGTGTGTATGCATTGAATCAAGTTATATATGAAATATATACCCATGTAGAAATATATATGTAAAGGAGTTTTGATATGCAAAAGTACATTGTAAAGCAGCATTGAGTGTCATGAAGTGGCCTCAGGCTTAAATGAACGCTACGCCTCCAGTGCGACCTCTAGTGGCAGTAGTGGGACGTGCCTTTGGCTGTGGATAAACACTACGACCAATCAGGAGAGTCAATTTCATTCTCATCAGTATTTGGCGTTTAGCGCATTTGTGAACATGAATACATTCGAGAATGTATGAGCACACTTTGCGAATGCCGTTTTTAAGTGTTTAAGTTAATATATTTAACATGGTTTGTTAAATGAATGGTGATTGGCTTGTGGAATTTTTAATCTGCAAAAATGTTACTTTTATCTAAACCACTAGATTTTTTTATATATGTTACAGCTGTTTTTCATTTTAAAGCAAATCTGAATGAAAATGGAGAGTATAATCCTAATAGCATTCTGAATTTATCCTTCTTTTCTTTTAATACAGCATACACGTGGAATGATGTTCTGTGAAGGCTAACTTTGTTTGAATTGCAGCTGAATTCAGTAAAATATGCCTGAAGTCTGAACGTGAACCTGAATGTCAGAATAAATCCAAATCCTAAAGTATGAAACATTTGTCTTGGCTTTCTTCCACAATGCCTTTCTGAATCGCAAAAAGACCTACAGGGCTCTTAACAGTGTTCCCTCTAAGCTGCGCGCGCAGAAGAAATAATGTGCCGCGCACACGCAAAAATGAGTTGGGGAAAGCCATTTGATTGAATGCCAGTAAAAGCGAAAGAATCGCAATGCTCGGGCAAACCGCTATAGAGTTAATGTCGCTATAGAGTTCGAACCAGTGAATGCGGTTTACAGGTTTCATAGAAGAGAAGACAACAGAAACAGTATAAATATATGAATAAAAACAGTTTTATTGAGAATTTGGCTGCATTAAAATGCAGTAGGTGAACACAGGGAGGCAAGACAATACGACGCACTGACGTCATGAATATGCTAATTAACGTATGACGTCATCTAGCGACATTTAGTAACTTTTCAGGCGAGGTTTAGCTACTTTCCATTAGGGATGGGCGATACCCCTTATTTTGTTTTCGATACGATATCGATATTTTTCAAGGCAGAATATCGTCGATATCGATACCGATTCGATACTTCTGCACTAAACTTTTAAATTATGAAATTTATTAAATTATTAAATTACTAAGAGTAAAATGGGTAATGAAAACCACTTAACTTTGTTTAAAACGCATTTTAACCCGTTTAATCCCAAATTTTTCCCAGACTGAAAATATCTAAATGATTGATAAAAAAAATTTATTTTATGGTCAGTCACAATTCTAACCAGTGGGATAATGTGTATACTGAATTAACATATTTCTGCAGTCATAAAAATAGTTATACAGGTGTGTATACCATAAGGGACTGCCAGTGAATGGCTGATGCATGCATAAAATGCAACCTTTTTATTCTGACAGTGTATGATTTCTATTAACATTACAGAATAGAACATGATCAATATTATCTTTCAACATACAATTTAAATAATTGTAATTGCACAAACTATGTAGGCTACAATTTCAATTTGTTCATTGTGAAATAACTCAAACATTTATGTTTTTATTTCTGTTCTCTGATAAGCATTGTTCAGGGCTGCCATTCTTATGATACTTTTGGGAAACGCAGCCCTGTTTGAATGCACTGTCAGCAGTGAGTGAATGCTCTCTGTGATTGATTGGTTCTGTCATGCAACATTTGCGTGTGTTCAGGTGAGCAGGAAAATAGTTCTGTCCTACACAATTACTCGCTAACAAAGGTATTCGTCCAATTCAATGCATATTGTATGCATTATTATTATTATTATTATTATTATTGTTAAATAAACAAAACCACTGGTAAATAAAACGCACCTTAGTATCGATATTTTTTGTTTGAGTATCGATACTTCGGATTGATACGCCCATCCCTACTTTCCATTGAAAGAAGTTGGCAACACTGATGAGTCGCTGTAGAAACCGAATACTTTAATGGTTGCGGTGCGCTCAACATGAGAAACAACGCAAATGCAATGACATGTGAAATAAACGTGATCGTGTATTAAAGAAGAGTGGCTTGATTAAGTGCAGGATGGGCACAGAACGGTAACAAAACTCTGAGACATTTACAGGCACACACAGGTGTATTGTGCAAACTACTTCATAGGGATGTTTAGACAGCTATAGAATAATTCATATGTTCACGTTATTTTTTTATATATTTAACTTACAGATCTTAGCTTAAGTTTTGCTTCAGTTTGTTTTCTATTCTATTCTATTCTGTCAGTTTAAATAGTTTGTTTTTTTTATATTATATTATGTTAGGCCTATATTATAAACCTAATAAATAATTCAAAAATAGAGGGGGAAAAAAACAGTGATATTATGAAATATTATTGCAATTTCTAATATTGGTTTCCTATTTTAATACCTATACTTTAAAATATAATTTATTCCTGTGATGCAAAGCTGAATTTTCAGCATCATTACTCCAGTCTTCAGTGTCCCATGATCCTTCAGAAATCATTCTGATATGCTGAATTATTATCAGTGTTGCTGATCTAATATGCTGTTGTGCTGCTTAATATTTTTTTGGAACCTGTCTTAATTTTTGTTTGATTAATAAAAAGTTAAAAAGAACAGCATTTATTCAAAATAGAAATCTTTTCTAACAATAAAAGTCTTTACTATCAATTGTATCCATTTAACGCATCCTTGCTGAATAAAGTTTCTTTAACTTTCTTTAAACGTTTTTAAAGTATTTTTAAAAAAGAAAGAAAAAAATTCTGACCCCAAACTTTTGAATAGTGTATATTGCACACTACTTCACAGGAATGAATTATATTTTAAAGTATATTAAAATAGAACATGTTTATTTTAAATACAAATAATATTTCACAACATTATTTTGTGAAATAATATTCAGTATTTTTGTATCAAATAGATAGGCTACAGCCTTGATGAGCATAAGACACGTCTTTAAAAAAATTGATTGATCCCAAACTTTTGAACGGCAGTGTGTTATACTGTAAAAAAAATTGTATCAGGCAACTTAAAATGTACATCATTTAGTTACATCAAGGGTCAAATCAAA